CGTGATGGGGGAGGGGCTCGCCATTTTTGTACAGGCCTGAGATTTGCAGCTTCTATGAAACGGGGAGTCGGTCTCCAATGGAGGGGGCCCTATGTACACTCTGCTCCCAGTGGGGACCCCCAGTTTCCTGAGGAAGCTGAGAGGACGGTGGGGAGAAATGGTGAGACAGGCTCTGATGAGGGGTGGGGTGGTTAGCCCCCTTCTCCCCCCAGCCCTGCTCCTGGGCTGAATGGGCAATTGTTCTGCCTCTGGCTGGCTTGCTCTGTGAATGTTGTTGTTTTGGGTCATTAAGGGGCTCTGATGTGGGGGGGGGTCACGACCCCAGCTGGGCCTTGAATAGCTATTGTCCCTTTTCTTCCCTTCTTGAATGGGAAGCCAGCCGCTTGGCTCTGGGGAGGGGAGGGGAGGGCGGGTACTTTCCCACAGGAGTGCTGCAAGGCGCTGGACCAGCCAGATGCTGAATGCCAGCACTGGCTCCGTCCCTGTCTCATCTGGGATTATAATAAATTACGGAGCTGGGGGTTGTACCTCGCTTTCTGCCATTCGGAGCCTGGTTTCTCTTCCCCACACAGAGCCCCCTCAGCAAACCTCCTTTGTCCCCCACGCATCTCATTGGGTGGCCTTTCCCCGTGGGGGAGAGTTGAGCTTAATTTTTTTTACTGAAAACTCAAGAGTAATTGGCTGAGGAATTCTGTCACGATGGGATTTTGCTATCAGGTGAGAGCAGTGGAACTCCCCTCCTCCGCCTCGTTAATGTGCACAATTAATAATCCTAGCATGACCTCTCCTGGAGATTAATAAAGTGCTGGAGCTGACAAAATGTGGGGAGGGCTATACCCCCCCCCCCCCCAAAACCACACCAGCACTTTAACTGTAAACCAGTGCTTGTACTGTGATAGCTGTTCCATTTGAGAAGAGGCAAAAGCTATACCGATATGTATAAACCATGCAAGGGTTTGTACTGGTTTAAACGTGTAGCTAGAATAACTACAGTGGTATCAAAGTGGTGTGTGGACCAGCCCTGAGACATCTGTGTGCTTTACAGCACACTTACGTGCGTGTTATGAAGTTCGGTAGGTAATTCAACTCCAGTTGTCAGAATAAACAGTCCGGTTTTATCCTTTCTTTGCTCACATACTGAGATGCAGAATTCAGTCTTTTATTATATTCCACTACAGCAATGTCTAAGCGCTTCACAATCTCTAATATTTATCCACGCACACTCATGTATCTCTCCTCTTTGCTGATGCAAAGCTGAGGCCCATGGAGACTAATGGACATGCCCAAGAACACACGGGCAATCAGTGCCATAGCAGGGAATTGATCTTGGTCATCCTAAATCCCAGGTTAAATCCTAACCACTTGGCTGTCTTTCCAGAATAGGATTTCTAATGAGCATCTGCCATTAGTACTGATGGGTGAGGGTCCACGCTGGGTTGTTTGATGTGGTTGGTTTTTTGTTGTTGTTGTTTTTTGGCATGTTTTTGAGTGTCTAGAAACTTTTATGTTGTGGAATGCTATATCTCACAAAGAGCTAGGTCTGGAACACTCCCCTTCTCCCCCCCTGCCCCTCCATTGTTGGGCACAATAGTCACTGGACACGGTGCAGCCCTTAGGGGTAAAGGTTAGCTTTTTCATGAGCCGTTTGATCCTGCCATGTCGAAGTCAATGGGAATTGTGCTGCTGACCTTGGTAGCAGCAGGACTGGGCCCAAGAGGGGAAACACAATGGAGTTATTTATGTGCTGTGGAAATGTCTCTCCCTGAGATTTCATGCTATCAGAATAAGCCCAGTAGGGCTTTAAAACTTGGCGCTGTCAGAGTTTGTGATATCCATCAAGCTGGGACGGAGATGGTCCAGACAGCACCCATAAAGTATTGGATCTGCACAGTGTCATCTTGTATTCCGTTGCCTGTTGTGGTCTGGTTTTGCAGGTCTGTTGTCGCAGGTCTGCGGTCTCTTTTGTTGCCTGTAACCCACTTTTTTAAGGGCTGTCAAACAATTTAAAAAAAAAAATTGCACTGGTAAACAATAACAGGGCAGCCACATCTTCCAAAAAAAGTAAACAAGCGTGTTTCTCTGAGGGTCCATCTACACAGCAGAGCAAAACTCGACTTAAGTTACACCACTTCAGCTACATTCATTGTGTAGCTGAAGTCAAAGTCGCTTAATTCGGCTTTTGGCGCTGTCTACCTTGCAGGAAGTCGAAGGAAGAACACTCTTCCTTCGACTTCCCTTCCCCTCGTGAAATGAGGGTTACAGGAGCTGGAGTGTAAACTCCTCCAGCGCGACATTATTTCGAAATAACGGCTTGGAGTGTAGACGCGCACTGTAACACTGCTGTGTAGATGTACCCTAAGGCAGTGGTTCCCAACCGCCGGGTCACGGCCCACTGCCGCGTCACGGACTTCGGGCTGCGGCGGCTCTGAGGGCTGGGGTTGGGGTACACCATTCTCGCCATGGCTCTTGTTCCCACTCAGGGAAGTGCTTTTCCATGGCTGGAGAAGATTCCCCAGACTCCTGGCAATGTGGGCAGCAGAGCAGGGCTAGGTGAGGGGGTGGGGCAGGCACTGGGGGGGCTGCAAGGGCAGGGCTAGTGCTGGGGAGCTTGGGATGGGGCTGATATTGGGGGAGGCTCTGGGAGGGTGGGTGCAGTGGGGCTCTGGAAACAGGAAGCTGGTACTGGGGGGGTCTGGTGGTGAGGAGCTGCAGGCGGCTGGCAGTGGGGTGGGCTTAGGGCAGGAGGCTGGCACGGGGATTGGATACAGGGGACTCGGGTCAGTGGTTGGCACTGGGGAAGTGGCGGGGGGCTCTAGTGGTTCTGGCTGGCACTGGGGGCTCTGAGGACTGGGCTTTTGGTGGACCGGTAATGTTTTATTTGCATATTCATTTGCATAATGAATATGCAAATAATATGTTACTGGGCCACCAAAAGTTTGCGAATGGGTTTGCCAGTCCCTGATATCAAAAAGGTTGGGAACCGCTGCCCTACGTGATTGCCTGAACAAGAAATAGGACTGAGTGGACTTGTAGGCTCTTGAATTGTTTTGATTTTTTTGAGGACAGTTATATAACCAACAAAAATCTACATTGGTGCTTTCATGGTAAAAAAGATTGCACTACACTATTTGTGTGAGTTGACTTGAAAAATACCATTTTTGGTTTGTCACTTTTACAGTGCCAATATTTGTAATGAGCACTGTACACTTTGTATTCCGTTGTAACTGAAATCAACAGATTTGAAAATGTAGAAAAATATCTAAAAATATTTAACACATTTCATTTGATAGTCTATTTTTAACAGAGAGATTAAAACGGCAATTAATCACATGACTTAGCAGCGCTTAATCAACACTTTCATTTTTTTTTTGTATGAGTGGTGTGAAATGTTTCCTTGAAACGCTAAGGAAATTCCCTTGTGCACAATTGTGTAGTAGCTGTAACTGGGGGTTGGGTTATTAAAATAGGAAGAGAAATTTTGTGGGAATTTTAACATAATGTCTGAATTTCAGACAGCTCATAAATAAGGCTCCACAAACTAGCTGGCCTCTGTGCTTTAACCAAAGCCTGTCCTATACCCGTCCCCAGCTCTTACACCCCCCACACTTCATGCACGTTCTTTATTGGCACTGCAAATCTTGAATTATCAAAAATACACAATACAGCATGGCACTGGGATTAAACTAGTTGGGGGGGGGGGTGTCAGAGCCCACTTCTGGGGTGTGTGTACCCACAAACCTGGAGCCCTGAACCTTTTAGGACTCCCCTCAAGACTGCAGCCACATTAATTTTGGGCTCTGGATCATGGTAGGGATACTAGCAGCTATTTTAATTTGGATACACTTCTCTTTCTCCAGCAGTTCACACAGAGGCTCCTTCCATTCAGCCACCTGTCCACAGAGTGCATCTCTGTCCTTACCCCTCCAATGCTGCTGCTCTGGATACGTGTGGCTTGACTCTGCTGCAAAATGTAGCCACTCCTGCCTGCAGGCTGCTTAACTGGGCTGGGGCAGAGAGTGCTGTTGACAGTCAAGCTGCATTCAAATCCGATTCAACCTACGTTGTTGCTGCAAACAGTATTTGGAGATGTTTTATGTTTGAGAAAAGTAAAACCAAGAGTACAGGAAGATCAGACTGCACTTTCTACCCTGTTGATTGCGATATGCCTTGTATCTGTAACCGCCGCAGCAGCAGTGGGGTCAGAGTTAAGGCTGTTTGTGGAACCATGAGTGTAAACTTCCTGACTTTGGCAGAGTTTATGGGCTACCAATAATGATTTTTTTAAAGGCCTCGGCTCCAGTTGGGCCCCATGGTGGTGTGTGCTGCAGAAGCTCTCAGCTTGCCTGCACTTCTGTGTTCCATCCGTCTAATTTAAATCGGTTTAGTCCAACGAGGACTACATTTGAGTGGACTCGTGCACCAGCTTAGCACTGACTGTATCTGATTAGTTTGCGAATCTGAGGGATAAACGTTGCTACTAGCTGGATGAAGACTTGGTGTACACTTAAAATATTTGCAGGCCTGTTAGTGAGCAGTGTGTGCGTTTGGGAAAGGGGAGTTGCACCTTCAATCAACAGAACTCTGCTGGTAAAAGCCCCAATGTAGATTGTTACACTGGCAAAAAAAGTCTTTTTTGCTGTGCGTGGTTTGTGTTTTGTTGTTTGTTTTTAGTTGGCTTTTTGCTTGCTTGCTTGCTTGCTTTGCTCAAAGCACAGGTGTAAACTACACCTGCAGACCCTTTCCTTTCGACCAGTGAGGATAACAAACCATTGAAACAGTTGAGCGAGACGCAGGAGGGATTCTCCAACACTGGTCCATTTTTTAAATGGAGATGGGATGTGTTTATTAAAAGTTCTGCTCTGGGAATTGTTTCCAGGCAGGTCTCTGGCCTGTGAGACAGGAGGTCAGACGAGATGATTGCAGCAGGTCCCGTCTGGCCTTGGCGTGTGTGAATCTAGCGTGGATGAGGCCTGACAGACAAGAGGCCCCATGCGCCGTTGTGCTGATCAGTAAAGTGGTGTCAATTCAGCCCTTTTCCTTAAGCTGATGTGACTTTATCTAGCTCCTTGATCTTAGCTCTGCATTGCTCTCACCCCTTGGCGCACACAGTGTGAGAAATGCAACCATACGTGTCCCTGTTCTTACGGGTGGATTATAGCTCTGATTGCACTGAACTTCACCCCACACACTGGTTAGCTCTAAAAGCTCTTCATTGCTCCAAGCAGGGAAGCATTTGGCTCTAGAACTGCCACCCCTGGTTCCTTGAGAAAATGCCATGAGGACCATCACCCAGTTCGCCAGGCACACAGGAAATGGGTTTAAATTTCCTGGGGTTTGCGAGTGGGAAGGGAGCATCTCTACCTGTAAACCTTATATGTCTGAAGGGCAGCCAAGTTCAAGTTGATGTCTAGAGTGGCTAAACAGGGCATTGTGGGATACATGCCGGAGCCCCACACACTCGCCTGGTACGTACTGCGTGATTGTCGAGGGCGTACTGGCAAAAGTCCCTTGCGGAGGTGAACATCTGTCATGAAAAACGGCCGCGTGTCGCGACATTTGCCGCGTTGGAATGAGGGTGCTCAGAAGTTTGTGTTGTCCAAAGGCAGGTTTTTCTCGACAGAATGTGCCAGAGGAGACAGAGCCTTTGTTTGTAGTGCAAGTAACAGTCTTTGCCCGTAAGAGCTAAAGCCCAGTTCTAGATGGTGCTTGGTCCTGCCGTGAGGGCAGGGGACTGGACTTGATGTCCTCTCGGGGTCCCTTCTGTTCCAGTGCTCTGAGTCTATGAAAGGTATTTAGCTGCTTCGTTCCCATCGATTTCTACTGCAGACTAAGTGTCTGGCGTCTTGCTTAGGGTTGGTTGTGTCTGGTATCCGCCGGTTTGTACGTTCCATCCCATGGAGGCTGTGGGTGCCCAGTTTGTACCCCCGCCCCGTCCCATGGAGGCTCATGAGGAGTGTTTGGAGGCGGGGAGGTGTTGTATGTAGCCTGGTCTGCACAGACTTACCATCTCTGTTTCTCCAGGCACCATCCGCCCGGTGCGGCGCAGTTACTATGACCCTTCCTCGGCGCCGGGCCAGGGTGTGGTGTGGGAGTGGGAGAACGACAGCGGCTCGTGGACGCCCTACGACATGGAGGTGGGGATCACCATCCAGCACGCCTACGAGAAGCAGCACCCCTGGATCGACCTCACCTCCATCGGCTTCTGCTACGTCATCGACTTCAGCACCATGGGCCAGATCAACCGGCAGACCCAGCGCAAGCGCCGTATCCGCCGCCGTCTCGACCTGGTCTACCCGCTGGTCACCGGCACCCTGCCCAAGTCCCAGTCGTGGCCGGCCAGCCCGGGCGTGGCCAGCTCCCCGCCTGCCCCGCCCTGCACCTGCCCCCAGTGCCTTCTGGTCATGAGCGTCAAGGCAGCAGTGGCGGCAGGGGCCAACAGTGGGACCACCGCCACGCCCCAGCCGCAGCAGCAGCGTAAAGCCTCCGCCCCATCTGGCGGCCCCAAGCCTCCCATCCCAGCGCCGGGGCTCAAGCCCCCAGATGGCACGGCCACCACACGCAGTTCGCTGAAGACCCTGGCCTCCCAGGTGAACCGGAGGCAGGCAGCCAGCACACCGGCCCTGAGCTCGGCCACTAGCCCGCCAGCCGCCAACGGGAAGGTCACGCGCGCCAGCCTCAGCACCCTCAACCGCACCCACCTGCAGCGCCTGGCCATCGCCCAGTCCCGCGTGCTGATCGCCTCCGGGTGAGTGAGCGCACGAGCGATTCTTAATGAATCTGGGGAGGGAGGGGAGCTTGGGTCCCCGGGGGCCCACCAGTGTTCCCTGTAAGCTGAGTGCTTGGGCGGCCATCCAGGATTAAAGTTCCGCCCAGCTGATTAGCAAAGCACCCGCAGCTGGCAGCATGTGGTGCACATCTGTGGTGCACGGAACAATGTTTATTCTGCACATATATGGAGGGGGAAAAATGACTGGAACACTGGTACCCACGTCACGCAGTGCCAGGTGCTAAGCGTCCTCGTTAGCCAAGGATCAGTCAAGTAGGCTACGGAGCCAAACTCCCTGTCAGCAGGACTGAGGGGAGGGACTTGCCCTGAAGTAACCTACCTTGCACCCATTCTGGGGACAGGCTCAAAGGGCGTCCTAGCCAATCCTTTCAGCTGGGTTCAATTAACAGCCACTGAAACAAGAGGTTGCATCAGAGATCTGCTGTTTGCTTTCCACCCTCAGCCTTGTCCCCAGGCCTGCGTGCTGCCACTGTAACACGGGTCCGTCCCTCCTGGCTGGCCATCTGGGACAGTGCATCCGCTGCTTTGATCTTACGCAGTGTCTGGCTTTCGTTTTGGTTTTGCTGCTGTTTTGCATTAAAAGCTTTCGGCAATCTCTGCAGAAGAGGCCAGGCTGTCATGGGATTGGATTGTGGATCAAAATCCTGTGTAGGAGTCGGCAGGCTAATAGCAAGAACCCATGGTCCATTCTCATCACGACAGGAGGTGAACAGAGGGGTGTAGTTTCCCTATTAGATCTATGGTGTGTGTGTTGGATGTATTAGTAGTCTGGAAGGAAGGGTGAGCAGCAAAATGTGCAGAAGACCCAAAAATAGTTTGGTTAGTTAGGACCAGAGAGTGCTCCCAGGAAACTGAGACCCGGACAAGCCAGGGGAAAGGGCAACATAAATGAAAAGTTTCAGAGGGGCAGCTGTTAGTCTGTAACTGGAAATTTTTTTTTTAAAAAACCAGCAAATAGTCCTGCAGCACCTTAGAGACTAACAAGAAATGTAGATGGTACCATGAGCTTTCGTGGGCACAGCCTACTACTTTCTAATGAAGTGGGTTGTGCCCACAAAAGCTCATGGTACCATCTACATTTCTTGTTTGTCTCTAAAGTGCTGCACGACCATTTGCAGGGTTGTAAAAGTTTTTTCATGATAAATGAATTTCAGTGTGCATTAAGTTGCTTTGAGAAATATATAAAACACTCCTGCTGATGCAGTAGCCTTGACTGCATCAGCTCAGGAATAGGTTGACATTGTAGCTAGCTCAGTGGAGACCTGTGCAGCTGTGGGCAAAGAAGCACACGAGGTGCTAGGAGGCATAGGGAATGGGATGGAGAATAACACAATACCTTGGTCAGTGGAGATGACCTTAGATGCCAGGACAGCACAGATCACCCCTTCTCCGGAGCAATGCTGTAAGCTTGAAGGAGTTCGGAGAAGGGTGGTGAGACTGGCGAGGGTCTGGAAAAACTCTCCTTTGAAGAGAGATTGGAAAAGATTGGGATTGTTACCTTAAAGAGGAGATGGGTGAGAGGGCGTGTGATGGAAATCTGTAAAATCCCGATTAGTCTAGAGACAAGTTGCAGATCTCACTGTCTCATAACCGAAGAACAAGGGAGAGTCAGTGAAATGGAGGGGAGGGAGGGAATTAAAAAATAATGGCAGGAAATACTTTTTCCATTCACGTTGCCATTAGCCGGCGGAACTCCCTGCCACAGGATGTTGTGGAGGCCAGTGACCTAGCAGGGTTCAAAAAGGGACTGGACATTTCCACTGTTAGCTCTGGATATTCTTGCTATAACAGTCAGTGCTAACAAAGGTAGCAGGGCTATTAAACCTGCCGCTCCGCTGCAGGGGTTAGGTCAGTCGTCAGTAGAGACCAGGGTAAGATCTGGTGCCAACCGCTGTTGGAGACAGGAGACTGGGCTAGGTGGACCTGGGTCTGATCCAGGTTGGTAGGTCCCTTGTGAAGGAGTCCCTGCCTAGGGGTCAGGGTGCATTTGCACCACGTCAGTCACAGCGTCCAGCCCTTCAGACCTGGGAGTTCCATTAATGACCGGCCTGGGGATTCCACGAGGGAGGTAAATACCCGTCAAAATGGTGAACGGGCTAAATGACCACCGTTGTATCGGTTAACGGTTGGTGGGCAGCCAGGGCTGGGATCATAACCAGGGCTGTGGTCCTGCTGGGTCTGTGGGATAGGTGTGGTGGGAGTCAGCTTACCCGGCTATCCAGTAAGCATTCTGGCACGCCTGCTGCTAACCGGGTAATCGTTTATCTCCCTAGACGCCACGGTGTCTGTGTTCTAGCTTCCATCAGCGAAGGAAACACCAAGGTCCAGACCCCAGCTGGTGTAAATCCACTCTCGGCTCCAGGGGAGTCAGTCAGATTCCCCAACTGGGCTGAGCAGCCTGTGACCCCACTGACTTCTGATTTATACCTATTGAGGGTCAGACCCAGAGTCTGTGGGGTGGCTGTTTGTCATCTCCAACTCGGTGTGGCACAGGATGGAGGAGAGGCCCTAGGGAAGAAAGAAAGCCCCCTTGTGACTGTAGCCCCCTCTTCCCGCCATGGTCCCTCTCTTTTCCCCCCTCAGCAAATACCAGAGAGCCCTTTAACCGTAAAATTGGGGAGGCCTGCGATCCCCTTTTGAATCTTAATGAGGCTGTGGGACATTCTTTCACTCAGCCCTGCAGTAGGGTGAGGGGGCCTCTATCAAAAGGCCTATAGAAAATTTTTCATGCTCCTGACGGAGGAGGAAAACATCTCGCCTCCTCCCCAGAAATCCCTTTCTTGGCCATTTAATTAGCGTGGCTCCCTCCTTTGTCTGGCTTTGCCATCGGCCTTCTGTCGCCGTTCGCCCGTGCCTGTGACCCCGCCAGGAAACTTTCCCATGGAAGAGAGCGGGAGGAAAGGGCCGCGGGAACAAAAGGGGCTGTGAATAGTTCAGAGACTCGGGCAGGGTTTCTAAAGATCGAGAGAAAAGAGGAGGGGGGCACGTCTCTAGATTAGAGGATTTTCTGGCTAGGCCTCGGTCTGTCACTACGGCAACTGTTGTCCGTCTAGGAAGGTGCCCGGTTCTGGCTCGCCGTCCTCTGTTGCCGTGGTGCTGCCCCCAGGAATGAAATGGATCCCCCCCCCCGCCCTAAACCACGTTAAAAGTCCAGCCGAGGAATGGCACGTTCTGACTCGGCATGGTGCCCCGGTGTCCTGGCATTTGGCCACCCGACCCCTGTCTCACCCGGGGACTGTCTCTTCCGCAGCCCCACACGACCGTTCGTCCCTTCCAGGGCCGCCGAATGGGGCACAGGCACCCCAGTGCAAAATACGGGGTGTCGTTTTGCTAGCACCCCCATCTCTTCCCCAGCCCCCAACCCTGCGTAGCCCTTCAGAGGCATAAGTATTGATAAAGTGGACAAAGTAAGAATGGATGAGACAGACACTAGTAAGAAGCTGGGTGTGGGGGGGGGGACACCCACTGAGGGCTTTGCTCTCCCCCCCGCCTCATCAAGGAGAGGTCCATGCCTAGCCAGCGGGCTGCGATGGCCCCAAATCTGCAATCGCGTGGGCTCAGCATGGTTGGCAGAAAACAGCAGACCCCAAAATGGGATGTATAGTGCCGCCTCTGCCTCCCGGGCTCTACCAGCCCTAGAAACGAGCTCTCGGAGGAGCAGTTGATGGGCGTATAAAAATCCCATTGTCCTAATTACTGTTGTCCTCCTGAGGCGTCAGTCCTTGCTCGGCTGCCGCCGCCACGGCCAGCCCCAGTAAACAGGGCTGTGCACCCTCTGGGCGTACCTAGAGCTTTCCGCTGCTGTCAGAAGCAGGTGGGTAGGGGGAGCAGTGACCGGTGGGGTCTTTTAGGCCAGGCACACAGGTTAGAAATACGCTGGAAGGTCAGGGCATTTGTCAGCAACTCCTTGGGGCAAAGCCTTCTGGGAAAGAGATCTCCTTCCTGTTCCTTTTGGCCTGTTGTTGTTTCTGGTGGCCATAGTTCCCTGTCAGCAGAGCGCCCACAGCCAGCACCATGTGTTCTTACTAGTGGTGCACATGCCTTGGTGCACGTAACAAAATGTATTCCACACATGGATGGAAAAATGATTAGAGGGAACATTGCTGGTGGCTGTATTTCCAGATCATGTAACAAGTGTCTCCTCTACCCATCCTCACCCCTCCCGCTCTGTGTTCCCACCTAGGCCCCTGGGTGTATGCCAGCCCCTCCTTGACTGGGTTGTCCCACGGGGTGTGTGAACTGCAGGATGTTAGCCGGAGGTAAAACCTGCTGGTCTGGTTGGGTCAGGGAGGAGCAGCCTGGAGAGGAGAGGACAGGTAGCTGGGGCCACCTGGTGGGGGCTGTGTGCAAGGCATCCTGAGACGAGGAACGTGCCCTCCTGTACCCCTGCTGTTCCAGCCCCCTTCTCAAGCTGGGGATCTCGTGTGAACTTGCTACCCAGCCGCATTCGCTCCCTGGTGTGCCGAGCCCCTTGTGCAGAGCTGTCCTGGCCGGCGGCTGCTGGATCGCTCTGCCTGCCCCAGCCCTGGATTGTGTCCCCTGCCTTTGGGGTCCATTGACGTTTCTGCACTCTCTCTGTTTTGGGGGCTCCTCTCCAGCCCCCTGCACTCTAGCCAGGAATCAGCTAGGGTATGGTGGTGCCTTGGACTTGGTGGGTCCATGCATTGGGTTAATCAGTGGGGCAGGGGCTGGATTCTGACCTTCCTCCTCCCTTTCCCTCAGGGTCCCTACTGTCCCGGTGAAGAACCTCAACGGCTCGAGCCCCGTCAACCCCGCACTGGCAGGTGAGGGAGCTGACCGGTGGGCCAGCCTAGCATGACTGAGCAATAATCCCATGGGGCGGGGAGGGGGGAGACCTCTGGGGCTGATGTAGGGAAGGGCTGTGGCAGCACCTGTCGTAGGAGAATGGGGAGGCCTCTGGAGGAGCCTGTCTCCCAAGGAATGGGGACAGAGTGAGATATTGGCCCCTCTGCTGTAAGGGATCTTGGGGGAGGTCCCTGTTATAGATGGGGGTGGAGGGCAGGATGGGGGTTCACATTGCTTCACGTGGCGGCAGGGGAGGGGATTCGTAGGCAGTGTTTTAGGGACAGGTAAGATTGGGGTGTCCCTTCTGTAAGGGTGGTGAGTTGGGGGCACAGCTGGCTTTTATGGGGGATCCAGAGCTGGGACAAGGGATTCACAGGCTGAGTGTGGGTCTGTTACAGGTGAAGGGGGGCTTGTGATGGCTCGCCAGCAGGGTTTGTGGGGAGCGGTGCCTGGCTTTCCTCAGAGCTCACTTTTCAGCGCCGTTCCCCATCTTTCTCCACCAGGGATCACAGGGATCCTCATGAGCGCAGCGGGGCTGCCTGTCTGCCTCACCCGCCCCCCCAAGCTGGTGCTGCACCCTCCGCCTGTCAGCAAGAGCGAGATCAAATCCATCCCGGGCGTGGCCAACACCTGCCGCAAGACCACTAAAAAGCAGGCCAAGAAAGGTGAGCGCAAGGCCTTACCATGCCCCTCTGGACATGCTGTGTCCTCCCTGCGGGCTGCTAGGGGAGCCCCTCACAATCCCCTTGTCCTGCCAGTCTCCTCTGTGGGGGAAGCCCCTTCCCATTTGGTGCCCCAGCTTCACCTCCTCACTTCCCTTCCCCGTGGTGCCTCGTATCTCACAAGGCCTTACCACGCCCCTCTGGACATGCTGTGTCCCCCCTGCGGGCTGCTAGGGGTGCCCCTCACAATCCCCTTGTCCTGTCAGTCTCCTCTGTGGGGGAAGCCCCTTCCCATTTGGTGCCCCAGCTTCACCTCCTCACTTCCCTTCCCCGTGGTGCCTCGTATCTCCCCAGGCACCTGCAGGGCAGGGTAACTCTTGCTGGTCTCTTCCTCCCTGCCCCAGGTAAAACCCCTGAGGAGGTGCTGAAGAAATACTTGCAGAAGGTGCGTCATCCTCCGGACGAGGTGAGAACCAGGGTGCGGTAGGGTGGGTCTGTCTGTGTCTGTCTTGGGCCAGGTCTTTGCTGCCGGAAACTGTATTTCTGCAGCGCGTTAGGTTGCACAATCTTGGAGGAGACATGGTGCAGGTAGATCGGACCTGGGTGCAGCTGCCCCAGGTCAGCGGTCTACTGCGCACCCCCATCCCTTCCACCTGGGTGCCCTCCACTAGCTACAGTAAGGTCAGAGCCATGTCGTCACCAGGATTGCACAGTGATTACTGTGCTATGCAAACACCCCCTTTCGGGGAACTGGCGAGGAGCGGTTGCTCGTGCTGTCTGGGTGGGTGTCTGCACATGGTGGGGTTGCGGGTGGGGTGTTGAGAAGCTGCTTCTGGCTGTCCACGTATCTTTGGGAAGGGCTGGCAAATGGCACTCGGGCCGATGCCACTGGTGCTCGCATCTGCTTGACCTTCTGCACAGCAGGATCAGCTCTGGCTTCTCCATGCTGAGGAGCCCTGACCCTGGCCTGGTGGCAGGGCTGTGATCCTTGGTTAGCCTTGCATCCAAGGCCCCACTGAACCTGCCACCGGGGGGCGCGGGCGGCAGCCGTTCCTGCCTGGTGGGACCGGGGCAGAGGCATGACTCCACCCTCTACACCTTGGCTCGTTCCCGTTGGCCTGCTGGGGTCTGACTCTTACCTTCTCCCCAAGGACTGCACCATCTGCATGGAGCGCCTCTCCACCCCGTCTGGCTACAAGGGGCCCCAGCCAGCCATCAAGCCCGACCTAGTGGGGAAGCTGTCCAAGTGCGGCCACGTCTACCACCTCCACTGCCTGGTCGCCATGTACAACAACGGCAACAAGGTGCATGGAGTCGGGGGTGTGCTCGGCCAGCTGCCACGAGGGGCCCTGGCAAGATCTAGGCCTGGCGTAGATCGTTCCCTGGCGTGGGGCGCTGAGCCAGTCATTACGCTGGCCTGGGGCTGAACCCTCCTCTTGATGGGCTGTAAGATCCCAGCGTTCTCTCCGCCCTTTCTCCTGCTGTCTCCTATTGGCTCTGTGGGACGCAGAGGGGCTTTGCGTCCTCACTGCAGCGAGCAGCCTCCCCGGATGCTTGGCTGTCCCTGTAAACATCAGAGAGTCAAGTTGAAACCATTCTCCGATTCGCTCTTCCTCATGTCAGGCCGTCCCTGCTCCAGAAGGCCCCTCTCCCATTGCAGACGTGTCCTCTCTCTGTCTTTCTAAAAACAATCCGTGCAGCTGAGCGTTAATCAGTGCACGTTGGGAAGACGGTGCAGTTAATATATGCTAGGGAAAGTTGAAGTTTCTCCGATGGAAAAAGAGCTCTTCCAACCAAACACACACTTTTTTTTTTGTTTGGAATTTTCTGAGGAACCCAACACTTTTGCTTTGTTTCGCTTTTCGGTTTTGAGGTTTGCCCCCCCCGATAAAAAGTACGGGAAAGGCATGAGAGGAGATCACAAAATTTAAACTGAAACTTTTCTGACTTCCTTTAAATAGGGGCAGGGAGGAGGGGCAAAATTGCTTTGTCAAAAAACTGAGACAATTTTTAGAAGAAGCAAAGAACATTTCATTTTAGGAGGGGTGTATTTTTTTTCTTTCATATTATTTCCCAGTCATGGTGTGCGGGGAAGTCTGTCTGTTGAGTTGCGGGGTGTGTGGGGTGGTTGGAGGAATGTCAGTCTGCCAACAGTGCAAGTGGAGGGGGGAGGGGAAGCTCTCTTCATCTGATTTGATTTCCTTCTCTCCTTTTTTCCTTCCTTGCTGTCAGGACGGGAGCTTGCAGTGCCCGACCTGCAAAACCATCTATGGGGTGAAGACTGGGACCCAGCCCCCCGGGAAGATGGAATATCACCTCATCCCCCACTCGCTGCCTGGGCACCCAGACTGTAAAACCATTCGGATCATCTACAACATCCCACCAGGAGTCCAGGTGTGACCCTAGCGCTGTGGGAGGCAAGGGCGTGTGTGACGTTTCCCAGGATTACCCGGGGTTGGGAGGCATCTCGCTACCACTGGCCCTTAGTGTGAGGGACTTGTGCCCATCAGGGAGCTGACCCCTGCCTCCACTGGCAACACTGGGCCTTGCTGGTCCCTGTCTCTCACCAGTGTCGTGATAGGCACACTCCAGCCCTCGGAGCATCCATCTGGAACATCTGGCCTGTGCTCAGTGGGACACACACAGTTTAGTTTGGCTGCTCCCAGAGAAGCAGTACGGCCCAGCCTGTAAGTCACAGCTCGGTGAAACTCACAGCACTGAGACAAGGGTGTAATGAAAATAAGCCAAGGTTTATTTAACAAGGCAAAAGAACAGCCATACTGGGTGAGACCAAAGGTCTCTCTAACCTTTAGTCCAGTGTCCTGTCTTCCCGGTGCCAGATGCCCCAGAGGAAACGAACAGAACAGGGGCTCAAGTGAAACCTCCTCTGCCACCCATTCCCAGCTTCTGATGAACAGAAGCTAGGGACACCATTCCTGCCCGCCCCGGCTAACAGCCATGGATGGAGCTATCTTCCATGAATGTATGTAGTTCTTGAATCCTGTTGTTGTCCTGGCCTTCTCCGCATCCACTGGAAAGGAGTTCCACAGGTTGACTGGTTGTGTAAAACAAGAGTACTTCCTCTTGTGGTGGTTTTTTTTTAAAAATCTGCTGCCTATTAATTTCATTTGGTGACTCCCTAGTTCTTGAGTTGTGGGAAGAGGTAAATGATGATTTCTTGTTTGTTCTCTCCCCAGTCATGATTTTATAGACCTCTAACATATCCCTCCCCCCATAGTCATCTCTTTTTTCCAAGCTGAAAAGTCCCAGCCTTATTAAACTCTCCTCATGTGGCAGCTGTTCCATGCCCTTACTCATATTTGTTGCCTCTTTCTGTTCCAGTTCCCATATAGGCACAGAGATTCAAATGATAGCAAGTAGGAATTTTTGGAGACGAGAGGTTACATAGAAAGTAAAGTCATAACACAGGTTCACAAGCCTTGGCTCACTCAGCCACCCCTCAAAGCCCTTCCAGTGTTTGTCACCCAAGCCTAGCCATGACTCTTTTTTCCATGAGGTAAGTCATGCTTTTGGAAAGAACACAGGGGCTAGGTCTGCTCCCACAGCTATACCCTGACAGTCTGCCCTCAGTGCTTGCAAACAGGATCCCTGCTCAGGGATGATAAAATTGTGTGTAACCAGCTAATCGAGTAATCGATGGAATTTCCATCGACTGCTTGATTAGTGGATAAGGGTGGAAATGATAGAGCCGCAGCAGGGTTAGCTCCCAGCACCGGGAGCTAACCCCGTTGCAGTTCTGCCTTTTACATGTATTAAGAGCCGCCCGGTGTGTAGCCCTGCTGCCGGGGGCTCTGCGATGACTCAGGATTAGACCGACCTTACGCACCTGCTCAAGATCTCAAACGATGCCATTTCCCTCTGTGCAGGGCCCAGAGCACCCAAACCCCGGGAAAAGCTTCACGGCCCGCGGCTTCCCTCGGCACTGTTACCTCCCGGACAGCGAGAAGGGCCGAAAGGTGAGAGGCGTCCTGGCCCGGGCCAGACTCCCAAACCCAGGACACATGGGCGGGGGGGGTGGGTTCTGCCTCCAGTCGATGGTTTGTTAGGGCAGCGTAGGGTGAGGGGAGCTCTGCCCATAGCCAAAGGAAGAGCCAGGCACCCCTCATGTCCCAAATGGGAAGTGTTCTCCAGACCCCCTGAGGAGTGGGTTGAGAGGCGGGGCTGTCGGAGGGCAGGCTGCAGCCTCCTTGCTGAAGGTACCGGTGAGGGAGGGCAGTCAGAGATACAGGACTGCTGCTGGTCTAGTCTGGGTGTCTTTGGATGATGATGGGGATTCCAAGAGGAGCTGACAAGATTGCTGGGCCCCAGGCAATGGGGAGGAGGGATGGGAAGAGAACACAAGTGGAAGGGGTGGGGCTGGAGCCATGGGCCCTTTAGAATCGCCAGGCCATGGGACAACTGCCCCCTTTGCTCAGCTCCTGTCAGCGGGCCTGGGGGTTCATGTGGGATCTTCGGCTGACACGGCCTCCTCTTAGGGGTGAGCTTTAGCCATGGGATGCATCAGCTTCATTCATTTAGCCTCCTGCAAAAGGCCTGAGATGGCAGGAGCCTCCCATCTCGGTGGCTCTAATAGCCTCTGAAAAGGCGTCAGGTTTATGCCAAAGTCCCTGTATCCTCACCAGGGAGCAAGGCCTAATTCAGCAGTGCTCTGTGTGTGAGACCACATGCGGCGACCGCTCCAGAACACGCTTTTAAAAAAAACCCAAAATCGAATCATGGTGAGGTTATTGAATTCTGATATGAAAACACGCTGATGATTGTGTTCTGCTGGTCATAACATTGCAGCATTTTGTCTGTCTGAAATTCTTGCTGCCTGGCAGAAGCTGTCCTGGGAGACAGCTGGATGATTTAGTTAAGAAGCTAGGTTGGTCATGCTAGAGAAGAGCATATCAGCTGGGTGATTGGCCATGAAATAGTGAACAGCATTTTAATTTCATCTGCCATCATTAAGTTTCAGAGTTAACACCACACTTAGGGTGATCTGTGCCACTGATGTTTGTTTGGGAGAGGGTGTGTGCAGGAGCTCCTGTGATGCTCCAGGTGCTGAAGCTGCTGCTGGTGGCCTGGGACCGGCGCCTGATTTTTGCCATCGGTACCTCCAGCACCACAGGCGAGTCGGACACAGTGATCTGGAATGAGATCCACCACAAGACGGAGTTCGGCTCTAACCTCACAGGCCACGGCTACCCCGACACCAACTACCTGGACAATGTGCTGGCCGAGCTGGCGGTGCAGGGCATCACGGAGGAGAGCGTGGCCCAGGAGAAGGACTGAGAGTTGGGGGGGAGGGGAGGAGATGGCATTCCATTGTGGTAGGAGCAGAGCTTTGCTATGGGGCGATGCCCCCACACTCGCCTCCTCCCTGCCCCAGTGCCTGCATCCTCCCCCACCTCCTCCTGCCACTGTGCTGCTCCAAGGGGGCCAGTCACCCCACTGAGATGTGTGGCTTGGGGCTAGAGTGGAGAGAGGGGCCCACGGTGCCGCCTCATTGGGCATTTCTGTGGGGCTGGTCAGCCGGCAACGGGGCCACCCCTCACCCACGGTTACATTCATCTCGTTGCACTTGGCTGGGAAGTGGGGGATTGAACCGCTAAACGCTGTGAACATGAACTGCCTCTTCGGGCCCTGCCCAGTGGGGAGCGCCCCATCCCACAAGGCAGCTCCGGGACCACGTGGGAGCCGTGGCACAGGCCTGTGGGAATGCCAAGGATTCAGACCAGTCCGAGTTGTCTTGCCCGGGTAGGAGACTGGTTGTGTGTTGTCATGTCACTGCTGCTTTCATGTCGTGGGCTCCATGTGAGTTGGAAATGTGGTGTGTGCAGGTCTGGTACCCCTTCCTCCCTCATCCCACCTCCACATCTGGTCAGAACCAGGCCTGCTGCCTGCTCAGATCTGAGCCATGGGGAAATGAGAGAAATCCCCTCTCCTTGATACCTTGGGTCAGGACCACAATGAGCTGGGGGCACGTTTCCATCCTGGGCTACAGCAGAATTGGTTCCTTAACGATCCAGTCTGAACAGTAGTGAACGGGCTGGGAATGCTTTGCTGGATGGCTTGTTCTTCTCCTGGTCCCTTTCCCTCCTCCCACTCTTCCCAATCCGGTCCCACCTGGGTCAGCACTAGTTCAGCTGGCTCAGTTTTCTTCTAGCAGGGTGGGGAAGAGCAATCCCTCGCTCCCTGATGCAGCTGCATTGTCCTGGCTCGAAGCCACGTCCGGTGCGCCCTGTTTCAGTAAGCGCAGTTCACTCCGGCCTGCTCCAGATCTGTGTGCTGGTCCCGTATCTATGAAGAAACCACGCCCCATGGCAGTGTCCAGTCAGAACTGGGATGGGAGGGGGGGAGGCGGCAAGGTCTGATTCCCCTGCCCCACCCCTCCCAAAAATGGGTTCATTGAACTGTTTGTATGGGGGAGTTCCCCAGGATACGGCTCTGAATTTATATACCTCATGTTTGGGGGCTTTGTCGTATATATGTATGTATATCTACCACGTCACCCTTGAAGACAGCGTTGGCGCGGGGATGCTGAAGGGAAAATGGTACTTAAGTTAGAACTGGAGGCCAAGTCAGCTGGTGTTCGCTGGTTACCATGACGCAAGCTGGACAGCCATCTTGAAATGATGGCGCCACGTCAGGCTTGGCCACGTTTCAAAATGGCTACTGTGCACCCCTAGGGCAGTGGGAAAAGGCCCGCGCACGGGGCCTCCGTGCCACTCCGGGCTGTTCCAGGGGGGTATGGATCTCGGGAGGAAACAGTCACCTGCTGCCACATTAGAACTTGGGGAAACTTTTCAGCCAAATCATTTTTCAGTGAAAAATGCAGCAATAGAAATGTTTTGTGTCCATTTGCGGTGGCTTGTTTCTGGCAAAAGAAGAAAAGGAATGATTTTTCCCCCCCAAGGTAAACAAGGCTTTTCCCATCAAAATTGCTTGGTGTGTTTTTTTTTTTTTAAATGTTCAAAACTTGAAACAATCTTTCTTTTTGGTTTGCCAAATTTTTTGGCTTCTAATTTTTTTTTAAAACCACCAGCAAACTGAAAAACTCGTTTAATTACATGACCCTGCTCCTGCCCTTGAAATTCCCTGCTCTGGGTATTAGTTTCCTGTCCTAACCCTGCCCATCCTCAAACATCACAACTGTAGATCTGCTCCCCAGCCCCATATTCCACTGCCTAGCCAGGAAGAGTCTCCCATGTTACCCACCCCTTAGGAGAAGCAACATTCTCTTGGGAACCCCTATTCCACTCATGCCTCCTACCCCTGCTGTGCTGGCAACAAGCGGCCTCCAGTCTGACTTGGCTTCCAGGGTAGGGGAAGAGGGTTGGAAGGGGTCTCCTACAGGTCCCTCTGACTGTTCCTCCCAGGGAGGGGCAGGGTGTTAATTCCCCACCCCCGAGTTGCTTTAGTTTTAATTTCTAACAGTGGTTTTATACTTTCTCCAGAAGGACCCGGGTGGGGTGAGGTGGCCAGGTCGTGGAAAGGGTCACCCCTCTCATTGTGTGTCTTCATGGTGTTGGATGCAGGTGTGCGGTGGCGGCTGGGGGTGGGGCAGTCCTGCTGTATATTGTGTTCTGTTTGTGAACGGTGCACTGTGCCCGTCTCTCTGGTGTGTGGCCATGTGATGGTGCCGCCCGCCGGGGGGGGCTGTATGTGCCAGTTTAATAAATGGAGAGCTCTCCCGCCAGGCTGGGGGGGCGTTTGCTGTCTGCGTCTCTCAGGCCTGTCCGTGTGTCTTTTGTTATCTGTTTGTGGCAAGTGGGTAGGCCAGAACCCCTCCTCTCTAGGGGATTGGGGACGGACGGATGGACAGTCAACCCAGCGCGTTGTAAGCGCCAAAGATTCTCTCATTCACCAGCAGAAGTCAGTTGGGTAAGAGAGACTCCCTCGCCTGCCTGGTCTCGCTAATGACCTGGAACCAGCACGGCTGCAACAGCTCCACCGGCAATCTGTGGGTATCAGTGAGCTGAGTTGAAACAGTTCTCTGTATTGGTCTGTCCAGCTGGGTTCTGCCTCCTCCTGCGATGACTTCTGAGTTCCCTCTCATTCAAAGCATCTGCCTTTCTCCCCTCCCCATCTGTCTTAATGCCCATTTTGTGCACCCTCAGCCAATCCTCACACCGTGCCCCATACAAACCTGGGCCTGGTTCAAGTCCAAGCTATGCAAAACTCTCTCGCTCTCGGCATCTGCCCTCCTCCCCAATCACATGTTGGATTTCATCAGCCGCAGCACCTTGTCCATATAAATACATTTCTTTCTTGGACAATTTTTTTAATGCATTGTTGCCTATGCAGTGAACGGCAGCTGAAATAAAAGAGAGACGCTGCATCTTTCTCTGGTGTGTTCTCATCCCCGGCCAGAAGTTACGGAGAGAAGTGGCCACCTCAAAATACCGGGCTCTGTTGCTGGAGGCTGCGTGTCCTCAATAGCTTAGAAGCTGGCCCTGAGCACTCAGGGCTGTTGTGGGGGAGGCCTGGGCTCTTTTCAATAGAATATAGGCTACAACCATTTCTATTTTTGTGGATGTCTCTGGGGAGCTTGCTGGAAAACTTCCTGTGGCTGACAGGGCGGCTCCCTCTTGACTTATGATTATTGCACAAGAGGGAGGCTCTGCTAGTGAGGTCTGTCCCATCTGCTAGCACCACCTCCCCTCTCCACCCCTCTGTGGGGTGAATGCTGCCCTGGCTTCCAGCTGGGGGAACTGACACACAGCTGTGGCCGAGCTCTGGCTTCTGCCAGTCTGCTGCTGTATCCCAACCAGTGCTGTGGCGGGCAGCTCTGCCCCGGGGCAGGCTAGGGGCGGTCCTGGGCTGTAGCCTGTGAGGAGGGGGGAGTAGATACGAGCTACTGAGGAGTTCCCTTGCTGAGGGGCATTGAGCCGGTGGGGCTGGGCAGTGGGTTTCAGGGCTTAGAGAGGCAGGACACAGCCTGCGGGTTCCCCGGAGGAGCTGGGGGCTCTATTCTCTCTTCCTCCCCCCTTCCATCCCTCCATGCTGGCTCCTGCTACTGCTGCAGAGGGTGGGTATCTCTGTGGCTACCAGCCAAGGTGGCACTGAGCTGCCTGCTCCCCTCTGGATCCACGAGACCCTCTGTTCAGACATCTCTGCTGGCTTAAAACCTGCCCTGCCAGCGAGGCCCACGGAGACTGGCTCCTTACCCCAGGAGATGGGGGGGTCTTGTGATTTGGGGGGGCCCAAAGTGACCCCAAAAGAGCTGGGTGCCAGGATAATCTCATTTCAGTGGGGAGCATTGGTAGGAGATGTGGGGGGAAGGGGGGGTCTCAGCTGGCCGGGGGGGCATTTAGAACTGGCCCCCTCCCACAGCGCTGTACGGGAGCCCCAGCCTGATGACAACTGACCCCATGTCACCTGTTTCTTGTTCCCCTCACCCTGCTGGCTTCATCCCACCCCCACATTGGCTCGGGGGGGCTGGCGGGGAGTGCCCCCCCCCCAGCCTCTGCGGGGCAGCCGGGTCCCATGTGCACAGCTGCAGCTCCAGGGGGCTGGCCGGGGCAGGGTGCCTTGCAGCAGCTAGAGCTAATAAAACCAGGGAGGGGGCGGTTAGCTACAGCCTTGTGGGAAGGGAGGGTAGCTCATGTGGCAGCCCAGCAAAGCGGGGCAGCATGTGGGGGGGGGGGTAAAATGGGGAGGGGGGCAGAGGGGAGCGCACCGCTCTGCCCAGCGGGAAGCTGGCTGCTGTGCCCAGGGATGGAAGGGGCTTTTCCCAGTAGCAACTGGGGCAGAGGGTTTACCTGCCTGGCTCTTGGGAATGGGGGGGTTAACCTATCTGGCTCTCTGGGTCTGGCTGGCAGCTCTCCCCCAGCTCAGCCGCAGTGCCGTACGCAGCACTGCCCGGAATCAGGCTCTGCCCCTCCTCCACCCTGCGGTACCCCCTGGCCTTGAGCCGCCGGGAGCCGTAGATAGCCAGGGCAATGAGGAAGGCCAGGCCCGTGGTGACTCCTACCGTCACACCGGCCGTCTCCCCGCCCGACAGGCCGCCTCCACCGCCCAGCCCCGCCGCCCGGCGCGTCTCAGCCGGCCCCCCCAGCCGCCACAGCTGGGTCTGGGCGTCTTTGACCCAGGAGCGCGCTCCGTCGACGCTGGTCACCAGGACGGTGTCGGTGCCCACCGAGGCGATGGCAGGTGGGCGGGTGTAGGGGGGGAGCCGTGCCGGGGGCAAGGCCCCTCCGGTGAAGATGCCGGACTGGACACAGTAATCCACTTGGCAGCCGTCGCTGATCAGAGCCAGGTGCTGGCTGAATCCTGCCGGGCAGCGCTTCAGGTAGGGGTCGTTCGCAGTCCCCTGGTGGGCCCCTGCCAGGGGGTTCCCCATCTCGCAGCTAAAGAGCCCCCCAAAGGGCACCGAGTGCCTGAACCCCGTCTCGTAGTCCCTGCTGACGCACAGCTGGAGCTGGTCGAAGAGCTTCAGCTGAAAGAAACTGGAGGGGCAGGACTGGGCGTTGGTCATGGGGTTGACACTCCGAGAGCTGAAGAGGCCTCCGAAGAGGTACCCCGAGTTCTCGGGGACCTGGCTCCTGGCCATGCACCAGAAAGCACTGAACTGGACCTTGGACAGCCAGAACACGTCCTTGCAGACTCTCTTGCAGAACAACCCCAGCACGCAGGAGTTTCTGCATTCCAGATGGCTGTACCCTTCCTCCCGCTCCTGGGTGCTCAGCCGCACCGGGATGTAGCCTGCAGGGCAGGAGAAGGCCCCGGTGAGTGGGTTCCTCTGTTCTAGCCCTTGGCAGAGAACCGGGGCGTCCGGGCCCATCAGCGGGGCACACTCCTGGTAGGCGCCCCCGAAAGTGAAGTTGGTCCCGGCCCCCGTGCAGGAGCCGTCGTCGGTGTTGGCGTGGAAGTTGAAGTTGGGCGAGGCGGCGTCGGTGCAGCCGGGGTAGGTGTTGAAGATGTAGTAGCGGCGGGTGGCCAGCTCCA